GGGGGGGGGGGGGTGAGAGGCAGCCAATCCATGATGTTTCTCTCTCTATCCCTCTCCCTCTATCTCTCAAGAAAAAAGAATTTGTTTTAATTACCCATTGTTGTTTGTTCCATGTTTTCTCACCGTTTATTTCTTACCTTTTGCGGTCTGTCTTTTCATGTCCATCACCACTTCCTATCAATGAAAGTCATTGTCACAGACTGGGTTCCCTGGGAAGCAAACTCTTGCCATGGACTTTGGTACGCAGGACGTTTATTAGGGATCAGAATCTGTGGAAGGGGAGGAAAGGAGACAAAACTGGGCAAAGGGAGAAGTTAGGTTGTGATGCCCAATCTTAACAATGCCTTAGCCTATCCCACATTTCTAAAACAGGTAAACTTTTTAAAAAATTGATTAATTTTAGCCCAGCTGGGCGTGGCTCAAGCGGTTCAGCATCAACCTAGGATCCAGGAGATCGGGGTTCGATTCCTGGTCAGGGCACATGCCCAAGGTTGTGGGCTCGATCAATGACTCTCTCATCATTGATGTTTCTGGCTCTCTCTCCCCCTCTCCTTTCCTCTTTCTGACATATATTTTTTTTAAAAAAATTGATTAATTTTAGACAGGAACAGAGAGAGGAGAGAGAGAGATGTGAAAGAGAGACATCGATCGGCTGCCTCCTGAGTATGTGCCCTGACCCAGGGATCAAATCCACAACCTAGGCATGTGTCCTGACTCGGATCATACCTGCAAGGCTTTGGTGTATGGGACGATGCTCCAACCAACTGAGCCACCTGGCCAGGTCCTGAGGTAAACTTTCCAAGTTTTCCCCGGTGGGGATGCCGGTTTTGCCAAGGAATGCTGTGGGACCTTAGGCACTGAGCATCTCTTTAGCCAAGGCAACTACTCAAGGAGGCTTATAACTCAATTTAAGAAGTATTGAGGCTTATAACTGAGGCATTGCTGCTGGCAGCACTCCAACAAATGGGGGATTAAGACCTTGAGTCTTGAAGGGAGGTCAGGGAGATGCATCACAGCATCCACTATACTCATTAAACCACTCGTTCCAGTTGTTACAATTAATGTTTATCTCACATTCACTCAAATCTTTCCTCAGCAGCACTGTTAATTATTCTTTCATTCTTGATACCATTGGCAATGTATTTTCTTGGTTGTCCTCCTACCTTTTGGTCTACTACTCAGTCTCTTGAAGATTTATCCCTCCCTCCTCAGCCGTTAAATAAGAAAGTTCCTTAAATCTCATTTTTTGATCCTCTTATTTTCTTCAAATGTCTTGTTTTCTCAAGTAATTTCAACCATGCCCATGGCTTTAATTACCACTTTTACCCATTATATACTAACCAACACTTGTATAATACTATGTGCCAAGTACTATTCTAAGTGCTTTACAAATATTAACTCATTTATTTTTAACAACTATAAAAATTATTTATTACATATGGATGAAGAAATCGAGGCTCAGAGAATAACATAACAGCATGTTTGAAGGGATGAGAGTGAGACCAAAAAAAATTAGAGCATATTAAAATATAGAGCTAAAAGACAAAGTGACAAACTTAAGAAACAACTGGCAGAAATGAGTAGATTAATAAATCAAAAAATGTAGAGGATGATTTTATACACATAGCTTTGAGAAATTAATAGTTGAAGCAGATAAAAATAGGCATAGTTATAAAATTTCTAAATACTAAAACAGACCAGATCAACCTATTAGATATGTAAATCACTCTCCACTCATCAGATAATTCAGATTCTTTTTGAGCATACATAGAATATGTATAAAAATAGACCACATATTATCTAGAGCTTTAACTCTTCCAAAGGAGAAATACTATACAGGCGGTTTTCCAACCATAAATTGACTAAATTAGATAATAAAGAATAGCTTTAAGATATTTAGAAACTAAATAACCTATTTCTAAATTACACTTGGATTAAAGGTGAAATTATAATGGAAATTAAGTGACTTAAAGTTGTTATAAAATAAGCTTAAAAACAGATGAGTTAAGCACTCAATTTAAGAAGTATTGAAAAAAGTGGTGTCTGAGAATTGCTTATTGGTGTTGGGAAGCCTCCATACACATGCTGGAATCAAGTTCCAGAACCTAATTTGGTTGGTGTCAGTGAAGTGAGATTTGCTAGAATGATCCTAACTCATCAAAACGTGGGTTTTGAAGAAAAAGGAGACAAGAGAGGAGGGGAAAGGACAATGAAGCTTTGACCCCTGGATGGCTACCTAGTCACCCATGATATAAAACTATACCTGCACTGAAATCAGTTACTAAAGGTAAAAGTAACTAATTGAATTTAGAAATGGTTGTAGACCCAACTCGCAAGGAGTTGACTAATTGGATGTATAAGGAAATGCAAATAATAAGAAGCATACTAAACATACAATTCCCGTGGTTATTGTTATCTGTCATAGCCAAGATGAAAATAAAAGGATTCCAAGATGGCTGCAAAGTAGGTGGAAGTTACACTCACCTTATCTTGGTGCCAAATCAGATTTACAACTAAATTATAGAGCAATCAACCTGAATAACCAAGTGAAGGCTAGCTGACCTAAAATATTATAACCAAGGATTTACAAAAAGAAGCCACATGGATACTGGTAAAAAGGGAGGAAGCACAAAAAGTGCTGACTCCCACTCACATGT